ACCTCTTGTAAATCACAGCTTTAACAGTAAAAATAAATTTGAAAATTTTACATCAATTATTTGTATTAAAAATATACAAAAAAAAGTAGTAGTTTCAATATTTTGTTTTGTATAAGAAATTAAGTGTTTGTAATTTTAATTTATAATTTTTGAAGATTTACAATAAATGTGTATTTCTAAATTATTTATATAAGAAATTAAGCAAGTAAATGAAAGTTTTGCGTGTATTGAAAAATGAAATGAAGTTTTGTAGGTATAACAGTAAAATAATTTTAATTAATGAAATTTTATGAATGAAAAATTTCAAAAGGTAAACGTTTTAATTAATGGTAATAGTAAAAGAGTAAAAAATTTATAAGATAGATAATTGTCATTCATAAAGGATAAGGATAAAATTAAAGTAATTTGTTAAAATTAATCAAGAAAATGATTTTTTTACGGATATTGAAAGAAGAAATTAAGTTTTACAAGGATCTAAAATACTTTTAATGAATGAAATTTTATGAAACAATAATTTCAAAAGGTAAACTTTTTACTATAATAATAGTAAAATGTATTAAACATATAGGATTAAACGTATAGAAAATTCCAATTAATAAAAGATTAGGATAAAATTAAAGTTATTTGTAGAAAAAATTAAGTTTTGTAAAGATAACAGTAAAATTATTTTAATGAATGCAAAATTTATTATTAAAACTATTAAAAGGTAAACGTGTTAATATAATGGTAATAGTAAAATAGATTAAATGTGGAAATTATGTATAGAAAAAATGCAATAATTTGTATTAAAACGCACTGAAATTAAGCATATAAATTACGAATAGAAAAATGTAATAATTTGTATTAAAACGCACTGAAAATGAGCGTTTCAAGGTATTGTAAAAAGTAAGAAAAAAAAATCGATTATGCAGACTGGTGAACGTAATTAATTCAAATATGAAACCTAGTAAGCCATAAACCAATATTATCACACGGTAGTCCCTATAAATAGTAAATTAATGAATGTGAACGCAACGGAACGGGACTGAACGTGTCTTGCGCTTGTCTTACGCAACATTATTTAGCGCCCGTGTCGTTCCAGGACGTGATCACATGTTCAACAATCGTAATTCAAGCCGAAAATACATTTTTACCTCGAGCCGCGTAAATAAAATCCCCGTGAAAGCTTTTCTATTTCTAAGCTCGCAATTCTCTCAAAAGCTCGTCAAATGTAAACACACAGGCGCGTCGGTATTTATAGTGGAAGATGAAAAAAAAAGTAAAGAAACTACGAGGATGTAGTGGTTGTATGTATGTAGTGAAGCAAGGAAAGCTTAAAGTTAGTATGCGGAGTGAATGATGGGGGACGTTAATTAAAGTAGGCGCGCGGTGGCGGTGATAATTTTAAGGCCCTTTCTTGAAGTTCCAACTTGGAACTCTCTCTTCTCTTTTCTCTCATCCTCATCTTTCCTGCACCCAAAAACCCATCCCCCTTTATCCCCGGCTTGAAGTAAACGCATTAGGGGTGTGCGTATCCAGGAAGGGCGACTTTTCTCATCCCTTGAACTACACAACGAAAACTCTCTCCTCTACGTTTGTATCTTTGTTCCCCCAATTTTCGGACGCAGTAATCGTTTTATATGATACGTCTCCGACATAAGAAACAATCTCTGTGTTTATACGGATTTGATAACGCGCCTTCACCCTTCATATCTCCAAAAGACAAATTCCAGTTATATAATAATAATATAATATTAGATATAAATTCCCTTTTTTTTTCCTCTTCGTTCCCATTTTTTTCTCGCTCTTCCAAAGCCCGGAGCGCGCATAAAGCACGAAGGGACTGCCCTCAAGGGAGCGAAACAAAAATGTGTATATAGATCGGAGAATGAAAGCTAATAACAATCCACGGTAGGAAGGAAAAAAAGGGCGAGATAACTTGATTCATAGTTTATGAGCCCTCGAGCAAATTACCAATCGTAAAAAGAGTGGAAACGCAATCTTTGGATTGAAGACCATAAACTCTGATAGAAGTGTTTTCGATACTCAACAAGTTTTCTTCACAGCTCAAACTTTAATTTATTTCATCAATAATGCATATTATTTAAAATTATTGCTGTTTTATACATTTTATACTAAGTTTTCTTTATCTTACGATTCAAATAATTTACAACTTCCATTCTTATTGTAATTAATCTATCATAATTAACTTTTCATTCATAATTTATTGCTTTGTACACACACACAAACAATGCATTTATTTATTACTTGATGACAATTTAATTATTCTATGAAATATATCTTATAATCATGCAAAAATACAAAGAAACAATACTACAAAGTTATTTGTAAAACTTCTGAGAAACATATTTATTCAAAGCAAAAATTTAACAAAATATTTCATAGTTATCAAATCAAAATTAACATTTAAACTAAGAAACAATTTCTAAATTTACTTTTTCTTTATTTAAATAAAGAAAATTATTATAATTTTTAGTAAAAAAATCTGTTTATTCAAAATCTAAGCAGAGATTTATAAGTATTTCTAAAGAAAAAAATCGTAAAGAAAATGGAACGATTTTTTTTTAAACTTCATACATGCATAATGCTTCGAGGCTATAGTTTAGCTGCACTCTACATTGCAAATAAGTAACGAATAACAAGTAGTGTGAGTTTCCCACATAGGGTGAGGGAACCTTAGGGCTCAAGGGAAAATACAAAGTAGTCATGGTTGCAAATAAAAAAAAAGGAAAGAGAAAGGAACGGGGAGCGCTTTGAAAGGTATACATATTTTATTCCTTTCGCACTCCATACTACTAGGTATGAAGTATTTGCTGATTTATTTTCGCCTGCAGTCACAATTCATCCTCCTGTACGGATGCAGCAATTCTTTCGATTTTTCAAGCATTTATTTACAAAAAAAAAAATCTACAAAAGCACAAATTCCAAGTTGATTAAAACATTGCGATTTCAAGCATAAAAAATATTGTAAGTATAAATATTTAATTAACTAAACTAGTTAATATTTAAATAAAATTTAAATA